TGGCTCTCGCGCGGCGTAGTTCCGAACGCTACCCGAGAAGCCCTCTCCATGGCGGCACAGCGGCCCGGCCGCCGGTAAGAGGGGGCGGCTGGCCGCCGAGCCAGCAGAGCTCGCACCAGCAGACTCCGGAGTGGCTGCACGGCCGAGCTCAGCCAGTATTGCCTCAGCGCGGCGCGGCCACTTCACGAGAGCTCGCGCTCGGCCGTCGGCCGCTACCTCGGCAGTAGCGAAACGTGGCCGTCCCCGCCAGTACACCGCAGACGAACTATAAGGGAGCGGAAGAACGACGTTCATGCTTTCGCATTCACAACTCATAAGAAGTGCTTAGGTGTCCTCGGAATTTTTTCAAGAGCACCTTGCAAGGTATTTCTGCTCTTTAGATTTTTTTAAGTTACTTAAGGGTCAAGTGCAAAGCACACCCAGATTAAAGCAAACGAATGCCACATACTTTCACGTTTATTCTGATAACAGAATTCTTTCTTTCTTTTTTTAACAGAGGCTGACAATCGTGCATATACAATGATCATTCGATGAACGTGTGGTCTTGCGATTTCCCCTTCGAGATGAGTGAAGGTTGCATGTGGAGGAGACACGCAATAAAGAAAACTCTGGAAAACGCACCGGCTTCACAAACACCGCACGTCTCACGCTGTGTATTGCCGACACGTTGTTTGTCACAAGCAGGGTAACACAAGTGATCCAACTTCCCTCTCCAGCCAAAAGAGAGGTCTTTGGTTAGAGTACGATCTCAGAAACGGACACAAAAGAACTGAAAGTAGTACAAGCCACAAGATTGAGTGAACTCTCGGCTAGTGTCGTTTGTTGGTGCTGGCTGATGTTTTACCCAGAAATTTCTCGGACAGTGTGCAGCTTCGGGCGAAGGAAACATAACGCCAAATAATATTTATATACCTTGAACTAGTTTAGTGAGAATAAATGTGGTCACAACTGCTTCGGTCACTATTTGTAAGGGTGGGATTGCGTGTAAACGACCAAAATTACACCATCAAATCCAATCTGTGGCGTAACCGGTCTGGTCGACTTTCAGGAGCCCTGATTTAACGAGCGGTGCTTTCTTTTTCTCAGGATAGTGAAAGATGCAACAGTTGGCTTGATGCTAGTCTTTGTGTTTCTTGTCGTCATAACGAAATATAATTATTTTCTTAAACCACCGTTGTTCTTGTTTTCAGATTGTTTTGTTATGAACTCTCACGAGCTACCTACACATGCCCAGTCCTTGCTTCCGCTAAGCCTATCGCTTCACATGCGATTAGGAAGCAACTGAACCGCGCAACAGTTTCACGTAGATCATATACAACACAGTTGTTAAGTACAATTCTACACAGTCGATTATACATGAACCATGGTGAATCAAGAGTTTCAATGTAACTTGCACCCCATTAAAACAAAACTAGAAAATCTAAAACCCTCCCCAAAAACTTTCGAAGTTATGTACAAGATGAAACTTTGGAGGACAAGGATCTACAATCAGACATGAAAAAAAAAAACTAGGTAATTCCCGGATTACATCAAACACCAATCACTGTCCTCTCAAAAGTGAATTTTCTTCTTTCGTAAACTACCACGTGGGTCAGAAATGTAATCATGCCTTGCAGAAGAATTCGGACAGCAAAAGCAATTTAAGTGGATTACTGTCTTACTGCAGTCTAGTGCACAACCATCTGTACATTCAAGATGAACACATGACAACATTAAGATCAAAATCGACAGCAAATATGTGAAAGCACAATACGATAGAACCTTCAACCTACAACTAGACTGTCAAGTGTGTCTTTTTCTTTGAAGGCAGATAGGTTCGAGACAAAAATATCATAATAAGGCACAACTCAATCTTTGAAACAATAAATTTTTTATATTAAAACAAAAACATTTTTTTACTGAAATTAAAAAGGGGATGGTAATCTTTCATCTGAAAGTCTAAAAAAATTCACGTTTCCGCTAAGATTAAAGAAAAACATATTTCCAAAAGCATATAAAAAGTTATATTACTCACCATTAGGACTTTTCCCTTCATATCAAATCATTTCAAACTTACGCTTTACGCATTAACATGAACACGCTTCGGTTGAAGCTCACGAATTGTTTGAAAGAGCACCAGATAAAGTCATATTACTCGTAGAAATGAAGAACGAAATTACACATTTTAGATGGAAAGTATGTCACGGATATATTTGAATCCAAACATTGGTGGCACAATACAAACACAATTCAAAATAAAAATACTGCCAAGGCCGAGAAAACAATAGAAACATGTATCCTTTATGGTGCGTTTATCATAATCTTGTTTTTGTTTTCAAAATTTAAGGAAAAATATGTCCCCTTTTATTACAAGAAACTGGAAACGTTAAGTAAAAACATGGTGAGTTTAACAGTGCCATTGGTATCATGATATTTTTCAAAGGATCGAGAAAACTTCGTTCAAATTACCTTCGGGCACGAGATTACGTGGTAACTGCAGCACGGCGCACGCGCACAGACCGAAATGAAGCAAAGAGCGCACCCCGAATGCACCAAGTTGTGTTTGTGATACCAGAGCCGTGCACAGAGAAAGCTTGGCCAGTAAGATGAATAAGAGCATGGCTACAGCGATGGTGGCGCCGCCATGAAACCCAGATATTCCCCCTTGCGGTTATAGTGCGAACTAAATGTAGCCCGAAAAGCAGGTTATTCGCGTCTGTAATAAAAATAAGGACGTGCATTGTTTGAAAACTAAAAATCGCACTTTAAGACAAGATTTTGTAAAGTGACTCGGCGAGCAGGTCAGCAACCTCTCAGTGAGGATGAAAATGTCATAAATTTATCGAAAACTAATTAATAAATCGAAATTATTTGGTTTGAATCGGATTGTTTTCATTTAAGTCACTGTAGCTAAAAAGAAAAGTTATTCATTATCACTAGAAGTGCTATTAAACGTGACATTAATTGATCAATTTGTCCGACCACTGAAAACAATGCGGGAGGAAGTACTACTGTAAATTTAGTCTAATTAACAACTTGTTATTGAGTAAACCCCGGTATACCCAAACAAATGCGGCTTGATTTTTTTGTGTGAAAAAGATTTATTTGTTTTGTTTTTGTGTTCTGATTTGCTTGCAATAGGAGATTATTTTCCTTCCAATTTGTTCTTTTCCTTCTCTAATATTCCGGCTATAGGACCCTACGTGACCGACGAATTCCGATTGGCCCAGAAGAGCATCGCTTATAACGTATTTTCATCCTGCTTTAAATATCTCTTGTCTCATAATTATTTCATTTAAATATAAAATAAATGCACATAGATGATAGGTAAAAAGTAAATAAGAATATAATTTTTCGGCGCATTTGTGTCGGGGTTTGATTTATATCATCTTTGGAAAATCGGTGTGATTTAAATCATAATATAAATCGCAAACTGCCTATTTTGTCACGAAGCGTTATAACCTTCAACTGTATAGGGTTTACATGTTTGGCTCAATACAACCACAAGGTGGCGACTCGGGACTTCTGGTGCTTCAGAAGGTGTTTCTGCGAACCCATCCGACCTGCATTCGACGAGTGGTGTTTTCTTGTTTACGTACCGGCTACTCCAGTAAATGACCGACTCTCTTTATATCCAACGCTGCGTGAAGCGTCAAGAAATCGCCTCCGCTGCGGATTTACCATCAAAGACATTAAGTTAGCTAATATAGGTACATACGAAACCTTGGCTTGGGCACTACCATGCGATCGCAGCCGCGCACTTTAATGAAAAAATATGCTAGAAAATAGTGCGGCTTTGCAACATCGCATTTGATGGAAGAACGTGTGTGAAAGACTTGTGTATTCTAAAGTTCCTAGATAAAAGAAACACTTCGTGCATCTCAGAAGTGTGGCGACACTCTTTGCGGCGCAGGTTTCTAGAAAGGCAGCAAAGCAAACTGCGAAAGGCCTTGTTGTTTCAAAAAAAAAAGGGTGCTTCGTCATGCTTGTTGTGTGTTGCTATTTTTAGAAGAGAGTGCGCAGTATCAAGGGAGATCTAATGTATAGGTCGCGTCAGAGCTTCCTACGCGGCAAAAACAAGCAGGAAAAATCGGCGCCTGTACATAGAATGCTCCCTTTTCCACCAAATGCGCATTTAGACGGTAGATTTTACCTCGTTAGATTTCAAGCCGTAATTATTTTTCTCTATATTATGAAACCAACGAACCTGTCAAAGTCAACGGAGGACACGTTCGCAGACGAGCGAGTTAGTGATGAATGTTACAAGTGGCGCCATCTCCCGATAGGCGCGGCGAGTAGACGACACACTCTATTGTCTGCTCGCTGTACCAATCGAGTTGCTTTCCTACTCGTCACTTAGTAACGTGTTATACCTTTTGCAAGATAACAATGCAATCTACGTAATGTTCCTTAAGTTTTGAAGAGTTACGCAAATTGTCCAGCGCGCTTTTCACTCCAAGTGGAAGCGTACTCGAGAGTTCACAAGCAGATAAGTATATAAGCATTTGTTTGTTTCTTTCTGATACAAGATGCATAGAACATCTGAAAATCCAGCTTAAATGCTTCCCACTCGATCAACGGTTCGTTTAAAGCAATTTATTTTCATTCACAGGTTAATTTCGAATTCATTTTAAATGTCACATTTATCGTCTTGAAAAGCTATTGCTCTAAAGTAAATGAGAGCATGGGAGTGTAAGCTGCCCAAAGTGATCATTGCTTTCGCACGTGGAAAGCAATGAAAGACATCTAGGAAACACTTCTATAACATTGTAAAAAAATAACCTTCCGGTGCTATTCTTAAATCATTCCCACCCCAATTTTAAGAAAATGGTTCAATTGTCATAAACGGTGCAAGGTAGGGGTTTGTCATATACTGCACTATATTGAGAGCCTGTCTGACCCTTCATCACCTTTAACGAACTATGTCCAAAAAAGAGCAAACCATAGAAACCACGTTTTACCGTGTCTTCGAGTTTGTAACAATTTAGTTTGGAAAAAACTAAACAAAAAACGCTACAAACTACAACAAAAACAAAACGTTTATTTTCGTCATAGCTGTCGCTCTTAAAACAATTACAAAACAAAAGACAATATTTTTTTTTCTCGTCATAGCTGTTGCTCTTGGAGCTACTGGAAACAATACACACATACAAAAGAAGAAACAAAAATCGTGAATGACTGATCTCGTGACAAAATGCACGCGTACAGTGTTTCATCGCTTCAGAGATGCCAAAACACTTGGTTTTAAGCCTTATGGTCAAAATTCAAGGCACCCTAATGACAATCCACTCTCGATGTTATAATGGGGGAACAGCTTTTGAAGCACGCGAAGGGGGTTTGTACAACCTGCGATCGGTTTGTTCACGGCACACATTTCAAAAATGAGCACATTTGATAGCATCTCTTCAATAAAAGCTTCCCATATTTACTACACGGAAATTCGCATGGTGGGCGTAGAGGGACCCCATTATCACCAACCATATAATTATAATAATTTACGTCGCTGTCTAGCATCGTCGCACGATCTATCGCAAACACGTTAACGGCACTCGAAGTTGAACCCAGCGAAGACACAGTTGAAACACAGAATCTGCACACATACCCTAGGACAGACGGTAGATATGTAGACGCTGTTACGACAGTAGAACCTACGAGTCCATTTTGTGTCAAATCGACACTTGGAAGCATTAGCACTGAAAGACTTCCGAAATATCCCTTTTTTCCCCTCAAAGTACCTCTAGAAACTTAGTCGTAAATTAGAAAAATATACGTGCATATATATGTAGACATGTATATGTACACGCAGTCGTCCTAGAAATATTACCTCGCTTAAGTTGTTTTTTTATTACTTCTTTTTTCTCAGATATTTTGCTGAACTGCGGTTCAAACAAAAATGGCAGACGACGTTACAAGGTGACGATGCTCCGTTGAAGGCGTTTCTTCGGAAAGGTGTGGAGGAATCTTGACAAAGCAGACGGTCTAGACGTCCTTTGGCTTTTCAGACGCCACTACGAACAGCATCTTTTGTAAAAACACAGTCGAACCCTCTGCAATTGAAGAACAAAACGAAAAAATATATTTAAATCTCTCCAATTTTTTTTTTTTTTTTGCTTTTTTGTTTTGCTTTTTTCTTGGCGTTGTAAGAGCGGGAACTCAACCGACATTTCGTTCTTTTTTGTTCCCGACTCACTCATCCCACTTTCTTTTTTTTTAAACTAAATGTTCATACATTATTTGCAACGAATGACGTATATTTCAAGTGAACCAAAGGTAACCACTTGGAGCCAACTCAAGATAAAACAACAACTTCAGCTGGGCGAGACCAATGCATAATAGCTTCTGACCTGTTCAGCGTAGACACGCGCTGACTTAAGTCAATACTTATATGTTCCCGCCTCAGACTACCAACCCGTGTACTATGGCGCCTGCAACATTTCTCCAGGTGGTGTCTTGAAACTTGACATCGTGTTCATTTCCCTCCCTCGACTTTCGCTTCGTGACGTCACAGCTGTGCTTCGCCGCGATTCTGGTGCTGGCACAGAAACGGAAGTAGCACAGAGACGACTGCTCCGATACAGCTTACTCTACATTGGGCTAGTCAACGAAAACTACGGCATCCACGGGTTCCGACGTCGCGACGACAGCGACGCCGGCGTCCGCTCGTCTTCTTCCCCGGCGCTTTGATAACCAGCCGCCAGGATCGCGACTGACATGTTTGTATTACCATTTCAGATAACAAGTCTTCCATGCACGAATATGACTAAACACACCCATCGGAGCGGCGTTCGTTAACACCATACGTTTGCTCTAAAACTGAATACAATCTCACATGTAAATGAATCGAAAACTTTATCTTCTAGGCACTAGTGAACTATCTTTAATACACTTGGATTTTAATCGAAAAAGAAAAATTATATAAAATGTCAGAAACATTACCTGCTCTAAGACTGTCACAAAGAATGGACATAATAAAGTGCGATGTGTCCAAATTGGCGTCAGCGTGGCGTGCAGCTTTGAAGATCACAAAACTTCGCACAAGAAACCAAGTTCGCGCGAAACAGTAAGTGCCCAGTTTAAACCTCTAAGTTGGAACTCATCAATTTTTAGGTCACGCTAACAAAACATCAGAACATAGAAACAGAAGGCTATAGACAGCGATTAAGATTTTCTTTTAAGCCTTGTGAAAATCAAATTCCAACGTTTTAAGCTTCATTGTAGGTGGCACTAAACACACTTTACTTCTCTATACATTTATGTTGGTCGACTACACAACTCCCAAAGAACCTACGTGCACTTTAGGTTCACCTACCGAACATGTCGAGGATCCACTTTGGCTTGTTTTTCCAGTAGACGAAGATGAAGTACACGGGAGCTCCGGTTGCAATGATGAGAGCACCAAATCCTGTAGAAAAAAAAAATAGTGCAAAATTTCACTAAAAATACATTTTGCAGAAGCCTAACTGAGCAAGCCTAGTTCTGTTTAAATGGATGCTGAACCCGAACATTTTAGTGTCTATAATAAGTGGCTTAGCACTATCTTTCCATGAGTCGCAGCCGCCGGTGTGCGCGAGCACACGCAACAAAATTGACGTCATCCTATCCCCCATTCACGCTTAATAAGCTTGAATGGGGGATATGATGACGTCAATTTCGTTGCGTGTGCTCGCGCACACCGGCGGCTGCTCACCCATGGAAAGACAGTGAGACACTTATTAGACGGGGAAATTTTCGGTTCTGCATCGCTTAACGTGTTGACGCGATAACGAAGCTTAGAATGACCCGATCGATCCTCCCTTGTCCCCCAAATGTATCTTGTATTTCAAACCGTAAATATAACACCTTGGACAGGGTGGGTAAATATCTACCCTCGAACGTTGTTTTATTTTAAACCAATTGTTCCAACTTAAGTTATTGCGGTGGTGGTTGTTTTGCTTATATTTGCGACGCTTTATACGCGCTGGAGTCTAATGTACCGAGTGTCTGAAGGAAAACAAAAAAACACCGAGTTTTGCTTACCCCAAAGTTTCACAACTTACCGTTATTTGATTCAAAAGTGCTAAGTGATTTGAGGGACCTTTCAACAGCGAATATAGAGCCACTTCCCGATGGTACACGCAATTCATCCCAGTCTACTCGCGGGCTTTGTTGGCCGCCATTTTCTCAATTAAAATAATAAAAATCGCTTAAAATGTTTGATTGAGATAACGGAAAGTTCCCAAACTTTAGTATCTGGTTCCAACCGCTGGCGCTATACTATATAGATCGCGGCTGAGCATTCGGCAAAGCGTAGTGTAGTTTAAGAGGGAAAAAAAGATTCCGTTTCTTTTTTTTCCCAGCAGCCAACAATATGTAACAATGCTCATCTTGAATTAAACGAACTGGAGTTAGACGAAATTAAATTTTTCGTGAAGGTTGACAAACAAACAACGTTATCAGAAGTGGTGGACACAATTAACGCAAAACACGAGAAACGCGAATGGGAACAAATGTACTTAAAATATTGTGGTGATGTAAGTAAGATGCAAAATAGATACACAAGCTACATTGAGTATTGAACTACGTATTTAAAAACCAGAGTAACCACGTATTCAAATTGTGTAAAGATTAATATTTTTGCCTACGCGGCTGCAGTTGAGACTCCCACGACGTTAATAGCGAAGCATTTTGATCCGCATATTTTATCCGTTAAAACTTTCCAACATATCTGTGAATCATTCATAGCACATACGAGCTAGATAGCACATTCCTATTACATTCGTACTGAGATTTCGAGAAAAAACGTCAACGATTCTTAAGATACCTGCATCTAAACAGAAGCCTGCTAAATATGTATTAAGATTTCGAAAATTGGAGAAGAGTAATAGAAACAAAAACGAAATTTTAAAGTACATATAAAAGTGTGCGTAACGTTATGCTCATTATCGTTATGTTGCTCTTGTTTTTGTTGTTATTGATTCGCTCCCGCCTCTCTCTGTCATTTCTAAGTGATGTCCGACACACAAGCGACGACTGTGACATGTCCCTATAAAAGTCCCGCTATCAGCCCAAACACGAACACATTCCGTTATCTTTACCCACAATACGGCCATAATCCCAGAATTAGGACGTCCCCCATGTAGACACTTCCAGGATCACTGCCCTCCGGTAGCCCAGTGTGTATACAAAAAAACATTCCCCCCAAAAAAAGCAAGCTCACCTGTCTGAACAGGCTCCGCAATCATGGGCACAATAGTGATGAATACCGTGGCAATAAGATATATGATGGGCCAGATAAGGTTGACCTGGAAGAAGAAGAAAAAAAAGATATATGACCGTTCTACATACGATGCGCAGACGCGTTCCAATGGTTGCCTACTGCGCACTGCCATCTTTGTCCACCGAGCTGGGGGAAAGCGCGCGCATGCGCCAACTTCTCAGTGGCCCTGCATTTTTTCGCATGGGCGATAAACGCCGCGAATTTCCCGAAGCTGTGGGGAAAACACGCAGCTTCGAGGGAGAAAAATAAATTCCATTTCAACGCATGTAAAACATGGAAGATGTTTCAGAAATATTCCCAATGTTTTACTCGCGTTCAAATCAAGTTTCCATCGATCCCTTGGAGATATGTCTTTCCCCAGTATGGGATATTTCCCACGACTACCTAACACGGAAGGTATCTGCCGTCATTTCAATGGCCTAGAGAATGATATAAGATGACAAAGTTTTATTTCAGCTACTAGCACATAGGTGACTCTAAACTTACAGGGTTTTCTCTCGATATAGCATGTGTGCTATTTTGTAGAAAATTAAACGGACATTTATGAAAGATACTGAAAGTCCGATCGGGATTATAAGGCATAAAAAAGAACATCACGAACCCCGATCAACATTAATTGCTTATCATGTTTGCTTTATATCTTTTTTTAAACGTTGCCTCATAAATTATGATATTGACCAGATGTACCATCTCTGAGAAAAAGTTACACGAAAGCAATAGTTTACGAACAAAACAATTTGCGTTTCACACTGTTCAATATTCAAATATCAAGGAACTTGACTCCAGCTAAGTTCTAAAACATTACGCAAATAAAAATGCTTAACGCGTTAAATTTAGCAATAGCACGCACCCTTAGTCAAAATTGAAACGCTTTGCAGTAGACACTCAAGCAACACTGGCGGCGGTCATGTTTTCGAAATAGCTTCCAGCGCCAAGCGTGTTATTGGACCCGAAAAGGTGATGGCTTCAAACACTGACGCAACATTCCTGTACAATAACCGACACAAGTGCACAGGCAAAATCCGTAGAGTTAGCATAATGTACGCTATGAGGTTCAAGTGGCGCTAGTGTCTACGCGAGTTTCGTGATGCAAACTGAAGCAGGCAGGAACCCGTCTTCTTTTGCGCTGCTCCTGTGTGGGAAAACGCGCCTGCATTTTGTCTTTTCGAGGGACAAGAATAACAGGAATAACTTTTATTACTTGGGTCGTAGCAAGTATAGACCGTTCCGCTAGGAAGAGGGGAGAGAGAAAAAAATGCCCTCCCCCTCTCACCCCGTATGTCGTCTGCTCCGCCGAGTGGGCTGTACTTAAAGGCCGACGTACACTTCGCGCTTTCCACTTTCGCCCTCCTGCTCCTTTCCTATAATCTCTCCACTTTTAAGCTTGCCCTAACTTGGCTTCCCTCACAGCTTAGGGGAGGGGAGCGCTAAGAGGATTATCTTCCCTGCAGAAGACCGAGGTTGTACGTCGGCCTTTAACAACCGGCTGGCGTGGAAACTCGGTTTAAAATCGCGTCATTTTGGAAATTTCAAGCGCGGACGCGCGGATTTTGGCATGCAAGTTATCGTGTAATACTATGCTAGATAAAAGGACTAACAGGGTCCAATTGCGCTGTTACCTGCGTGCAAACAACGAAAACAAAAAGGGAAAACTGTGTCAGATTGACCGGTCTTTCCGGCAAAAAGTAAATCCGGTTGCTGTACCTTTTTTTTACTATACAAAGCTCGTACTGGTATAGGCCTTTAGCGACCATGAGTGAAAGTCTGAAATAATAAATAAAAACGTGCTCTTCTGCCGCAATACACGAAGTAGTTGAGGGTAGTACTGCCAGCTGACTCCACTGCTATTTAAGTAACGTAACAAAGATACGCTAGTTGATCATTTACCGAAGTAGAACAACAGAGAGCTCTAGGCTGATTTTGGAGTATCCATAACTATTCTAAGAACGAGAACCACTTCACAACGGCAGCCACGAGCGAGGGTTCGATGTTCGGTACAGCCCGCCGGTACAGCCCAAAGATGGAGAATGGCAACCTCCCGGTTTGTCGTCTGCTAGCGGAGTCCGGGCGCGTGCCCTCTCTCTCGTTTTACCCGGCCGAACCCGCTGAATTTCCCCGATGTATGGAGAAAGCGTTGGTGTCGAACAAAATGGCGCCGCCCAGAGAGCGCTAAATGGAATGGTCTATAGTAGGTAACTTTATTAATACTATAAAAGTGAAATAGTTTTAATTACAGTATTCTTGATCAGTGAACGATGTTAAACTTCGCTATATTTAAGACCCAAATTTCAGCTCCATAGCGGGTGTGTAAAAAGGAGCGACGATTCTAACGAAAATAACAATCAAGAGGAATCTAGAGCGTGTTCAAGGTTCGCCAGCATTCCTGTGACGCTTCTATATTGCTAATATGCCAGTCCTGTCACCATATGACCCTCGTGCACCTTTATGATCCAGCGGTTGAAAACATTCAAAACATAAAGAATGAAGTACGTGGGATATTAAAGGTGTTTCTACCTATAATTTTCTATGCCGGACAGCTTTTATCGAACATCTGTGCTCTGCAATCAAGCTATTTTCAAAAATTTCGAACGTGCGAGTGATGTTTCGAGCTCAGAACAAGCACCTTCGCACATAGGCACGAGCATAGCGGATAAAGCAATACTTTTTTTATTGCAAATCAAGATATATTAACTTGGCCTACTTTATGTTGACCACCTACATACACCGGAAGTGATTGATCCAGTGTTACTCCGTAGTTCTTGTCGTCTCCATTGGTTTTCCAGATGTCCTTCGATCGTTTGGCACGTAAATCACCTTGCACGAAAGCGCCGACGCCGTGTTCACGCTACGAGTGTACGACAGTGCGCATAAATGCATGTCTGAAGCAGTTTTAGCACTCTTTAATTACATGAATTTGAGAAAAAAACTGTAACTGACCAAAATTTTTGTTTACGTAATTGATAAATGATCCAAGATATTTACTGGTTTATAATTATTCGTAAAATTTCCTCTTGTCGTCAAGCGCAGAGAAACAAATGTATCTGCTTCTTCACGTAGAAATGCATTACCAGAAGCCAATTTTCGACTGGGTGCTGTCTGCTTCAATTTGTGACAGCACACTAGCGCCAGCTGAGCCTCTGTATCGTACATCATAAAAATTCCGAGGACACCTAAGCAATTGTTATGAGTTGTGAATGCGAAAGCGTGAGTCGTTCTTCCGCTCCCTTAGTTCGTCTGCGGTGTACTGGCGGAGACGGCCACGTTTCGCTAGGGCCGAGCATACCTCGGCAAACCTCACTCATGAGGGCACTCACTCACCATCACTCACCCACATCTTCCCAGGTGACGTGAGAGTAAGTGAGTTTCTGAATCGCGAAAAATCATGAGTGTGAGGATCGTGAGGTCGTGAGGGGTGTGAGGACCGTGAATGCGTGAGGGGTATGAGTGTGTGAGGGGCATGAGGACGGTGAGTGCGTGAGGCACATGAGTACGTGAGGGCTGAGGGGTGTGAGGACCGTAAGTGCGTGCGCGATATGAGTGCCTGAGGGGCGTGAGGACCATGAGGGGTGTGAACGTGTGAAGGGCATGAGTGGGTGGGGGGCATGAGGACCGTGAGGGGCGTCAGGGCGGTGAGATCACGAGGGTTATGAGTTCGTGTGGGGCGTGAGGACCATGAGTGCGTGAGGGGTGTAAGGGCCGTGAGGGCGGTGAGGGGAATGAGGGGCACCAGTTCGTGAGGGATCTGAACTCAAATTAAAGGACACATGCAAAGGAAAAAAAACATTTTTTTTAGACAGCTTAGATGGAAAAAGGATGTCATAAAACGATTTTACAACGAAGAAACAAAATTTTTAGAGCTATATTTACGGCGCTATACGAATTTGTAGTTGGCGCTCGCGGGAGCCGCTGCTGGTCACGTGGTAGGCCCGCGCGCCGCCGCGCTGCGTCGCCGCCGCACGCTGAGCGTTGTGCGAACGCCGCTTCAACGCGTTTCTCCAAGCCGCCGTCGCCGCCGCCGCACAAGTTCGTCTGCTTCGGGGCGCCGCCGCCGTCGTCTGACCGGCGCACAGGTCTATCACGTCTGCTTGCGCTTTTTCAGGAGTTTCCTTTGGGCTCTAAAAGTTACTTATTCGTCTTGGTTTTTTGTTATACTTCAAACAAAGATGAATAAGTTACTTTTAGAGGCCATAGGAAACTTCCGAAAGAGCGCAAGCACCACGTGATAAATAAAGACCAGTCACGTGATAAATACAGACCACTTTTCCGCGGTGCCCGCGGGCGCCAACTACAAATTCGTTTTGCGCCGTAAATATAGCTGTAAATTTTTTTTTTCTTCGTTGTAAAATCGTTTTATGGCGTCCTTTTTCCATCTAAGCCGTTTAAAAAAATTTTTTTTTTCCTTTGCATGTGTCCTTTAAGCACTTGCGTTTGCGTGTGGGGCTTGTGCGAGACGATGAGTTTTTTGCGATGCCTAATTTCACTTGAAGGCGAAAAGAATTTGTGAAGGGTTGCGCGGGTATTGTGACCTCTCGCGGCATCTGCCGGGAAGTGGGGTCGACGCTCGCCTCGGAAGAATTTCGCCGCGCTGATGATGGCGCTGTTTGATTCTTGGGTAACCGGCATACCTCGACAAACCTCACTCATGAGGGCCCTAACTCACCCTCACTCACTCTCATCTTCACAGGTGAGATGAGGGTGAGTGAGTTTCTGAACCCCGAAAATGCTTGAGTTTTAGGGTGAGTAAGGATCATGAGATCGTGAGGGGTGTGAGGGCGTGAGAGCCGTGAGCGCTGTGAGGACCATGAGCGCATGTGAGGCGTGAGGGCCGTGAGGTTCAGAAGAGGGTGAGTGAAGGGCTGAAGGTGAGTGTGACTGTGAAGGTGAAGGAGGGGCTGAGGGTGAGTGAGGGGCTAAGGTGAGTGTGGCTGTGTGGGGGAGGGTTAGTGAGGGCGACCTAAATTCCAACCTCTGCTGCCGAGCGCGCGCTCTCGTGAAGCGGCCGCAGCCCCCCTCCCTCCTCCTCCTCCCGCAACGCCGGCCACGAGAGCGGGGGCCGAGCGCGCGCTCTCGTGAAGCTGCCCCAGTCCTCCTCCTCCCCCCCCTCCCCCCCCCCCCCCCCCCCAGCAACTCTTGACACGACAGCAGGGGCCGAGCGCGAACACGATCTCGTGAAGCGGCCGCCAATGGCTCTCCATGAGCCGTTTTGCTCTTCCAATGGAAAGATGGGCATTGTGGGCATTTCTTTCGCGTTATTTGCGGTTGCAGAAGCCGCCGGCTCCGCTATATGGGATAGTTAATGCTTTCGCATTAAAAACTCTACGACAAAATTTGGCAGTTTCAGGTACGTGGCGCAGCAGGAAGTGTCTCTTTCGCCCGTGTACAACAGGCGTTCTTGAGAAGCAGGTCGGCTAAGCTACCGCTCGAACCTCTTAAATATTGGCATTAAATCGTTTCCGCCCGTGTTTCTCCGCAATTATTGTTACCCCCACTGGGCAGGAGGTCGAACTATAGGATGCGCCTTATCGAGCTTGCTGTCCGCACAGCCCGGTGTTTACTAACACAGCTTAACAAAGAAATTGAACCTAGCCTAGCACGGTCTAGGCACGAGCGCTTGGCTCTGACCACTGCTTTCGTCGCACGAGAAGCCGCCTTCGAATCGCCATCTCCGATTTCTCGGATCAAAAAATGAAAGGCGTTTACAATTCTCTGTAATGCGAAATTAGACAGCAGCCCTCGAGGAGGAGGAGTAGGAGGAAGTACGGAGGGGAGGATATGCCCCTCCTCCCCCTCCTCCGTACCCTCCCCTTCTCCTCCTTCCCCTCCTTTTCCCCCTCCACCTCCTCTTTTAAAGCGCAGCTCTTAGGCGCCCGTTTCTGGCCTGAGCGGCGTCGCCATCACCGTCGGCGTAACCGCGCGTTGCATTATGGGACGTTTCCCATAGTGATGTCACACGTGACGTCACGTGTAACGTCACGAGGGTCACGAGTGACATCATGAAGGTGACTCGTGAAGGTCACGACGAAAGTCACAACCTTCCCGAGTGACGTCATGAAGGTCGCCAGTGACGTACAAGAGGGAGGAGGGAGAGAGGGGGAGAAGGAAGGGAGGAGGAGGCGAGGAGAACGTGAGGAGGAGGAGGAGGATGATAGAGGAGAGGAGAGGGAGGAGGAGGTGAGAAGAAGAGGAGGAGGAGGAGAGGGGGAGAAGGAAGGGAGGAGGAGGAGGCAAGGAGAATGTGAGGAGGAGGAGGAGGATAGAGGAGAGGAGAGAGAGGAGGAGGTGAGAAGAAGAGGAGGAGAGGGTACGAAGGGGGAAGAGGAGGAGGGACATATTCTCCTTGCCGTACCCTCCCCTCCTCCTCAAGAGCTGCGCTCTAATTCGGCATTACAGGGAGTTGTAAACGTCTTTCCTTCCCGTAATCAACGGGGTAGAGGCTGCGAATCTAGCGCGGGATTTTTGACTGATAACATTTCGCTCCACGCCAGACCACGGCCCTTCAGAAGGCAGCGAGCGTGCGCTGGAGCGAAGCGTCTACTGAATTCTTAGCCCGACTATATGTACTGTATTAGGGGGCCTTGGACACCTGAAGCCGGGCTCACACTGCTCCTACATCCTACAAAAGACCGTCTGAAAACAAAAGTCACAGCAATATCCGTGGTTCGAATGCCGCGTGCCACTTTTCTCCTTGAACTCATTGTCATGCGGCGTTCGAAGTACGGATCTCGCAGTGACTCGCGTTCAAATCTGTTTGCAGACTTTTTTTTTCTTTTTGTATTATGTATAAGCAGTGTGATCCCGGCTTAAATCGATCAAAATTGGGCGAAAGTTCACCTTGATGGGGCGCTTGAGATTAGGCTGCTTCCACCGGAAGTAGGGCAGAGTGGCCACAGCCAAGCCAATGGCGAGCCACGTGGCAAACCCGACGTACGTGATCAGGGCGAAGATGTCGCTGCTGCACAAGTACACGAGCGACAGCAGGCACTGCAAGGAAAAACAATTGAAAAAATCACTCGTAATATTCGTTTCAGCTCAATCATGTCCGACTACTAGGCAAGGGGTTCAGCGAGTCAAGAAATCCAACGAGTCAGAAGGTTCAATAGTGGACCTCTAGACTCGCTGGACCTCCTCTTGACCTATGGTGGATCCCTTGACCAGTATCGGATCGTTCGACCGGACTATCTGTAACCATCTACTCCTCGTTTTGTTTTTTGTTTTTTTTATAAGGTCAAATGGGATAAAAGCGGGACGGTATTCTTTAGTTATCGAGCTTCACTAAAATCATGAATAGCATAACGCGAATGCTACATTGTGTATCTTCGCATTTTATAAGATCCGCGTTGACAACCAAATATTGAAGCTTCTATCCGTGCCTCTCCTTCCACACTCCCACGCGAAATAAACGAATAAATAAAGCAGAATATACTACAGCGGAAGCTTCTTTATCACAGCCCCTTAGCTGTTTAAGAAAAATACAAACGGTACACAATCGCTTGTTCGTGTCAAGTGCGTCGCACTTTCTACAAAGCGCAACAGCACAAAGACGAGTTTGGATTTTGCTTTTACGTTGTAACACCGAGCGTTTCAGGGTCGGCTTACATAAGATGAACATCATAATGTAACCAAAGAACGCCGCAAAAAACCGTTACAGAGCAGCTAACTTTAGCTGGCTTACGTTCCGCTCATTCCTTACCTTTATTCAATCATTTATTAGTTGGTTACTTACAGGAAATAAATAGGCACGTCCTTCCGCTGCCCGCTCCCGACTTTATTGGTAAGATTAACCTCATTTCCATTGTCTTATTACAGTTGAAAGGCTGTCACTAAACACAATATGGTGATTGAAAGGGTAAGAACGGCGGGGCATCCAAAAGAGACATCATATCAACCATTCTCATTCTTTCTTTGACTGCAGTGTATCTCACACTAGTAAGTTTAAGTACATGCTATAAGGGGAAGTCTACCAGGACGCCTACCCGCCACACTCTAATGAAGTGAGTAAAAACACTCAGGTAATTATTGATCCCTGGTAACAAAAAAAAAAGTTAAAGACCCAATCAAAATATACCAACCATAGCGAGCACAGCGGGCGACGGTGTAAGTCGGTTGATCTGGATCATGCAGAGGAGCCTTGGCATCTGGCCTTGTTCAGCACCGGCATAAAATAATCTGAAACAAAAAGCAGTATAAGATCTAAGATCCCACGCATTTCACGGGGCAGCAGCTTTGAAAGGTAAACCTGTCAAAACTTACGTAAAAAGTACGCGACTGAACGCAGCTTGGGCTTTCAGAACATGGCGCTTCGTAATAGTACAATCGTTTGTTTCAAAGAACATCGCAATTAAATGTCAATCAATAAATCGCTGCCCATCTAAGCCCCAAAATAAGTGCACTGATTTAGGAGAATAAAAATTTACTGTTCCAAATTCCGTTCCCTTTTAAAACAGAGAGCAATTCGGAACCAATATATTATTGAACACTGCCGCAACATGGAGGTATCACCGCCATTCGATGCACGTTATTCCGCTTAAGGTGCATGTACGGGAACACAAACCAAATACTCGCTTATATATTTCTGACCACTCATCATCACAGCCTAAACATGCGTTTGCAGTTGTTGTTTGTTTCTTTAGCAATTGAGAATTCACTATGGAAGCTACCGCGTCTTAAAAATATATGCGAATAAAATAAATGAGCAATCGCACTTTCAGACATCACCTCGTTCGTCGCCGCTGTTACTACGCCTATATTTCGCTTCCCGTTAGGGTATTTTAGGGAACCCTTTTTGCACATCCCATTCGTTACGATGGGCCCTCCGCGGTACGCACTGCGCATGCGCTACCACAGAACACTCGCACAAGCGCAGTTCTTACCGGAGGAGGACTCACCGTATCCGTATCGGACGTGCACAAAACAGTTCCCTAAAACTGCCTAGTAGAGACGGTATGTGATCTGAGCGTTCGACATCACTGGCTATAATATCAGTCCATTAAAGGGGGGGGGGGGGGGGGGGAAGTGCATGATAATGGGGCACTCACTATGCGTGATCGGTGTAGCCGGGAAAGAAAACGCATAAAGACAACAAGCGCCGTGACGATGCAATTTTGGCGCTGCTTTTTTGTGGTGTCCCTAGACTTTGCGTCAGCTGCGTTCGGACTTTCTTTTTCCTATTTTTTTTAATCACAGCGCTCTCTCTAACTTTAGCACTGTAAAGAAACCTGTACATCACGCTGACCCTCGCACTATGAAGGCTAACAAATGGGGCGTTGTGTTATAAGATTTGAGCTCCTATTCGCATACCCCTACTTGTTACTCCTCCTCAAATTTAGATCTCGACATTTTTTGTTTTTAACGTGTGAATGTGCTAACGTGACTTTCTGAATCTGAATGTAAAAAAATCACACACGTTAATTTTTATTTATTTACTCGTATGCGTGAGTGGACGTACGCGACAGCGCAGAAAGCGTGTTCACGTTGCATCTCCTTGCACCCTATTTTTCTCGGAGTTACCTTTCATTCCTTCCTGTCACCGTTTGTTTGTTCGAAGAATGAGAACCCATCCAAAAGAAGTGCTTTACGAGTTATTTACGCAAAAATTTATTTCCAACCCCCTTCCCCCCCCCCCCCCCCCCCCCATTAAAAAACATTTTGTCCGTCCGTCCGTCCGTCCGTGGATTTCCTGCTAAATTTAGCTGGGAAATTGATATCACGAGACCTACACACAAATTTAGTTTCTCCGCTAAATTTAGCGGGGAAATACAAGTCACGTGGCCCGACGTCACGGGACCATACTCACCAATTTACCCACGAAATTTTGCGCAAAAATTTACGTCACGTGACCTATACACCGATTCAGTCACCCGTTAAATTTAGCGGGAAACTTTACGTCTCGTAACCCAGTCACCAATCCAGTTTCTCCGATAAATTTTGCGGGGGAAATCAACACCACGTGCCCTCACGTCATGTGACCTATAAAACTATTCAGTTTCCCCGTAAATGTAGCGGGAAAATATGCGCCAATTGACGCAACTATTCTTTCACCGATTCCCTATAATGCATTTCATTCATTTTACAACTTCAAAAATAAGGGGTCGCTTTTTTTTCTCTTCTTTTTTTATTCCGACTACTTTTTTTACACTACATCAGGGAGGGAATCTTCCGAAACTAACCTTAAGGGAAAAAATATTTCGTTTAACACTGTTTTACAAAGTTTACCATTATAATCCAGCGCCGAGAAACACATTGTTACCATCCCACATTTCTTTCTCTTTTTTTTTATGATTATACAACACCTGCAAGAAGCAGCCCCTCTTCGCGTCCACCACCGCTTATGTGAACTCTTCGAACCCACGATAACCAAATGAAACTCACTAACCGACCACAAAGTGATTGGCAACAATTCTTATACTTCTAGAGAGCTGCTCAGCGTAGATCTAAAATATGTGCGATTCTTGTACTATTAGAGTGATAATGTGTTACTAGTTCATTATTTGTATGTATAAATTTTGTTTGTTCCTACATACAGAGTTTAAATTTCACTTGAAGATTGTTTTAAGGGGGAGACAGACGAGTACTCACTTCACCATGTGTTCATCAGGCTCGGCGGACATTAGAATAAATCATCGTGCTAAGTTGACTAAATAACAAAATGTGTTAATTAGGGTTATAAATATTGATTTTAGGGGTCATGTTCAATAATGTATTATTTACGGCACTTACTATTAGAGACCAGACCAATGCATAGAAAAAATAGTCAGAGTGCAGGCGAGCTGGTGTAAGTTGTATAGAAGTAATGTATAGAATTTGTGAAAAAGGTAATGATAATGCATTTTAAAATATTATTCTACCAATTTCGTGTTTTTTTCCTTTTTTTTCGCTCGATTAAAAATTGCGCACAAAAAGAGTGCATCGAGCCTCGCCCACAGTGATGCTTGAAAGAGTGACGTAGTCGTTTAGGTCGCATCGTAAATTGTCGGCGCACCCACCAAGGGCACACTGCCGAGATAGTGACCGACATGACTGAAACAAACACTTTCGCAAATTCTTTAAATAGGTCTGGCAACTAAAAGTAATTGCCGTCAATACTGCCATTCCAACATGAACCCTTAAAACCAATAAATAAGAAGTCAAGATTTTAGTGAATTAGTCAACTTACCGTGGCGATATACACATTGTGAAGACAGGGCTCGTCTAACACTTCCCCTATATGTTTTTTTCTTTTTTTTAATTAAACACTTTTAATATCGCTTCCTAGTCTATAACTTTTTGTCGATCTTAAATTTAATTCTTCCTATTTCTTTTTTTTATTTTTACTATCGAAATTTTTATAAGCTTATTCTTTCTGTAATACCATATGGTAGGGCCTTCGAGATAATAATAAATGAATGCTTCGAAGTCATTTGCAGAGCAGCTTGAAGTCGAAAAGTGCGTAGACCAATACGTCGCGCGACAAGTGCCCGGGAAATGAGTATTCCGCCAGGTTTAGTTTCAAGCTCGTGCAAAGTTTGTGAGAGCCCCACATGGCGTCGCTCCAGGGATTCCCAGAATAACGTCCCGCGATACTGCGCACGCTCTTGCGCAACTCAGACAAAAAAAAAAAAGTACGTATGACGAAACCACATTTTGCTGGAAGAAACACCGCGTCTTTCTAATAATTTTCTACTAGGTATTCGCGCCGTTGTTTTCTGCCTAAAAAAACAAACTGCGCAGTCACGCCAGTATGCACTGCACAAAGAATGTCGTTACTCTTCTAAACACAGTTCGCGTTTGTTTTTTTATAGATGATCGTATGATTTGTCTTCTCCGCGCCGCCATCTCGTCTACACGGCCGTGGAAGGCGTTTTGAGCATGCCCGCAGAACATCTCTTGCGGGAAATGCCGCACGGCGCGCACACATACAGAGCCGTGACGCGGCAGTTTTAAATTTTTTCCCAATGAGTGATAAACGGGGTAACTGTGTACTATATAAGAACTTGGTTCCTACGCGGAGTGCAAGTTTGTCTGCTTCTTGCGCAGGAGTTGCAGTGACGTCAGAACGACACCGTGCTCTGATTGGCTGCGATTGAGAGGATAGTGGGTAGACCCGCTAGTAGATGCTTCGAGGTCTACCGACTTTTTGTTTGTTTTGTTTCTCAGTCAGCCAATAAGAGCTCGGAGTCTCGACATCATCACAACCCCTGTGCAAGAAGCAGACCAACTTGCGCTCCGCATACACCAACTCAACACTCTGACGTCACGGCGCTGCGGTGGCGCTGCTGCCGGCATGCGCACACGCTTCACGGGTATCGGGTTTCTGCGCAACACGATCTGATGCAGCCAATAAGGTGGCTCCAAAAGTGCACAGTGTCATGGCGCTCGTTGCTGCTGTTTTTGTGCGTCTGCTATCATCGGTTGAACCAATCACGCGCAGTGAATGCGATGCAATTCTAGAATTTTTGACTATGTAAGATTGCTTTAGCCGGTGATAGAAAACGCACAAAAACGGAGTATATAATAACCCCTGTGTCGGCCACTTTGCAAAAACAAAAAACAAGAAGCCTGACGTACGAAAGGAACTCGGCGAATTTGTTACCGCTAAGAAAACTGGAAATGAACGGAATTTGTTTGTGTTCCCGTTTGTTTCCGTGCGTAGTTTGCGAGTTGAAACCGCAGGGTTACGACGGGCTGATAGTGCTTAAGTACGTGTCGCTATTTACGCCGTACAATAATTACGCCCAAATGTTTTTATTATTATTTAATTTCATACGAGATAATCGCATCCTTTCGGCTATTCTCTGCGCGTCACACGTCAGACGCGTGCCCTGTCACGCTGATAATCTCAGTCGCTAAATTCGAACAGGGCTTCGCTTCTCCAATGAGCAGATAAATCTAAAACATTACTTATTTCCATTAAAAAAAAAGCCCTTTTATGTCAAACAGCTTTATCTAGGATTTTAGGAGATATATCAAGCACATTCTTGGTCCCTTTCCTAGGGGATGGAATATGTACGGAAAGTATAGTGATGCAAAACTATCGATAAATTGATTATCGACACTATCGAAAGTTTTTCCAAAACTATCTATAGTTCCGCATAAGTATCGATAGTCGACCATCGATAGTTCTATCGATAGTTTTTCGACAGTAGACTATCGATAGTACTATTGATAGTTTTTCGATAGTCGACTATCGATAGTACTATCGATAATTTTTCTTACTATCGATAGTCAAATATCTGGCGACTATCGATATTATCGATACTAATATTGATAGTTTTGCACCACTATGGTAAGTGCTTGGGCTAGTTGGTGTCCTATTTGAAAAAACTAAAGCGAGGAAAAGAAAAAAGGGATCGACGCAAACTACTAGTTTCGCGAACCTATGGACAGTAGTGCTATCGACAGGTTTACGGTAGTCGACTATCGATAGTTTTTTCATAGCCGATTAACGATAATTTTCCGATAGTCGACTATCTATAGTACTATCGATAGTTTTGCACCACTAACGGAAAGTCAAGCTTGCATCCAGTGCACGTAATGCGGTACAATACGTTGTCTTTGTTTTGTTTTCGCTTCTTTTTTTATAGGTTTACCAGAGCAAGCTACAAATCAATGCAGTGAAAGGCAAAGTGGAATAGGCGCGTATATTATATATAATCATTGTACGCATAATGTATTATGAGTGTTGTTCCAGTAGCATACGCATTATGTCAATATACAGGATGTGCCAAAAAACTTGTTTGTTTTTTTGCCACAAAAGGAAATCACGCATCGCAGAACGCTCATTCTACGCCTAAAGGTAGCGCTATCGGTCACAACCAGATGCCAACGCTTCACAGTCATTTCATTCAAAAGTGATGAGCGAATTTCTGACCGTTGCAAATGGGAAAATGGCGGCCGACAGAGCCCTCTAATCCATGAAGCTCTATGGCGAAAGTGACCGAGAAACGGGCGAAAATGAGCCTCATATTTCCACTGAAATTATCGGAAGATTAGTTATAACTATAGTTACCAGCTTTAGAAACGCATGATACGTCTGATGATGCCCATGCTTCTCGAATTGTGAAAGGTTTTTCGACGGTCTTATCGACATAATGGCGTACAGCGCTGATCTATTGTGGAAAAACGCTAGTACAGACCTGGACGAAGTGAACAGGATGCCGTTGACACCTCCGAAAGTGGAAAGGGCGACGAACACGGGCACGATCCAGGCCATAGACCCGTACAGTTTCTCGGCAAACGTCTGAAAATCGTAGAATCGAATCAAATCGGTACCGTAACAACGTGCACGATCGTCTTCCTCCTCCCCTCCCCTCCCCTCCCCCCCCCCCCTCCAAACGATGTTAGAACTGCAGTATCTTTCCGGACCATAGACCACGGATTACATCTGTCTAAAAGTTTAGATTCTACGCGGTGCGACAATCTAAAGGTGAAAACCATACAATGATTTTTTTTTTTTTTTTCAAGATTGTTTACTAGTACGAGACCTGACAAACTTCATGAATGGCAGCGTATGTTAGAGATGTTTTCTGTGCACTGCAGGCTTCCTTGAGAGCTGATAAAGTATAGGCTTTCGTCAAGGTGTGTGCTCCATGAGAAAAGTGTTTACGTGCTGTCTAAGTACCAGGTGGGGACTATCAGAGGAAAGACCTATTTTTCAGCCAGTATTTGGTCCAGCGGATACGAGGCGCGGACTATGGCCCGGATGATACCGTATACTCCGTTTCACTTTAAGTCCAACTGCAGTGGACGCTACAATCTCACGATTAGGGTGTGTATTTCTTACACCCCTTGTCCCCTGTATAACACCCCAAAACGACATTTCGACGTTCAGTCCACTGAGGTCGAACGGACGACGCCAACTTTTACCAGCGGCTTGATAGCTGTGTGATATGACTTCCTAAATAGATTATGTACTTAATTAAAACTACAAAAAGCTAGGTTTTTGCAGCAGGGCCAACAAAACCTTGTGTATTTTCCAGCAGTCTTTAATGCGTACATAAGCGATTTTAATATTTATCGATTTATTTGTTTATTTGCATAATTACATCGCCTAAAAAGGCTATATAAAAGACAGTATTCATAAAAAATAATAACATGACAATATAAAAACAGAAAACACGACAATTCTAAACTCAGAAACACTAGAAATATAAGAAATTTCAAGAAAAAACTAAATTTTGTCCCAAAAAAAAACAGCTCCGGCATCGTAATATTTTTAACATCATTAGGTAATTTATTCCACACTTGAATAAACCGGGAGAAAAGAGAATATTTAAAATCATTTATATGGAGAAATCTTCGTTGAATTATTTGTTCTCTGTGAGACACGTGAGTAGACTCTAGAAGATACATTGATCTAGAATCTAGATACAAGTATTGTCATTAAAAAAAGTTATACTTAAAAGTTTCAGGCGGAATCACTGACTATCGAGCCGCTCGCGATAAAACTCGATTAGTTCGACGTCAATAAACAAAACGTCAAATTGTAGGTTTGTTTGTTATTGTTGTTTTTTTTTTTGTTTTTTTTTAGGCTGTTACATACGAGGTGAGCGGTGTAAGTTCTACCCCCCCCCCTTTTTTTTTCTGAGAGTGTACCATCCAATGGAGCCAATCAAGCAGGTACTTTTGTTTGCTTTTTGGTGTTATATAGGAAGCCAGTACTACACCCTCTATTTCTGACGGTGTACGAGCCAATGGGTGTAAATACTACACCCCAATGGAGCCAATCAAACAGAGTCAAAAGTGCACCGTCACGGCGCTCATCGGCCTTGTGCGTTTCCAATCAACGGCCTGAACGAATCACGTACACTAATTGCACCGCAACCTGCGCTTTTTTTTTTTTTTTTTTTATGCGTGATTGGTTTTAGGGAGTGATCGAAAACACAGAAAGACAACGAGCGTCGCGACGAGTAGTTTTGGTCATTTGGTTTTAACAGTTAGTGAGGTCGGCTTCGATCGGACTTAAAAGTGAAGCACGGATAGACCTTTGAAAAGATCGCCTTCTGAGCACTGCCATCTTTTGTCTGCTGGGCTGTGAAACGCCTTTTGAGCGTGCGTCGTTGCTCTGCCGTGCGGTGTACCAGATGCTGCGCATGCGTCCACAGCTCAGTGACTCAGCATTTTTGACCAGGAAGAAAAGCGATGCAAAGGTCTATAAAACGTGTCCATTCCATAACCGTAAGAGCGCAGGAATTTTGAGATTTTTTTTTTTTCTAATCAATGAAACCGAGTACAGGCAACGTGTTCGACAACACTTATTTCACACTCCGCTTCTGTAAAGGTCATGTTGTAGGCCTACTAAAAATTACCAACTAATTATAAATATTACTACATCGGACCACAATCTTAAACCATTTGCCCTATATATATATATATATATATATATATATATATATATATATATATATATATATATATATATATATATATATATATAATGACAGAGTCTGTGAGAAACTTGTCAAGACGACACCTCATAAATATCGAAGATGCTCAAGTACAATCGGGAACATGGCCTGTAGCAAATTTACATGCTGTATATGTTCCGCATCAGAATAATAATTTATATGCTCGTGTCGATGAACTGCCCCTTTTAAGCGCAATTCGCATGATGTAAAGACCGGTAGAACAAATGTTCAGGGGATTAGAAAATTACAAGATACAAAAAATTAGCGAGAGCCACGTTGAAGTAGTCTAAAAAGTAAAACTCACGCAGAACTAATATATATATATATGATAATTTAATCGAAGGGTCATACCACAGCGACGGCTTCGGCGCCAAGGACTTCTTGCACCGAGAGTGTAGTGTGGAAGGCGACTATGCTCAGGGTGTAGACCACCATAACCAGAATGCAGGAGATGAAGATGGCGAGAGGGAGGTTTCTGGAAAATCAGTTTGCAACGCCCTTCAGACTATTACTTTCTCACGACACCCCCCCCCCCCCCCTCCCCCTTTCTTAAAGAAGACAAAAAAGAACCCTATCCAAACTTTGAGCATGGCAAAAATCACACTGTAACCAACAAAACCCCGGAGACAGTGAACCCAACAACGGCAAATGTGCACACACGCACGCACGCACGCACAAAGCAAGCTAAAAAGAAATTTCGGACGTTCTTTTGAGTGTATTGAACACATCACAAATCCTTAGTCTGCGCTAGCAGAAAGGACCCCAAAAGGAACCTCTTAAAAGTATCGAAGAGGAAGTTTCACTAGGAAAAGCTGTCTATTAGTGAATGCTGAGAAGACAATTTGACGGATCCAGAGGATTCCCTTCCAAGTCTGTGCTTGTGTCGCTCGTGTCTCGGGGTCGCCTTAATTATTATCAACCCTTCACCACTTCGTTCCCGCTCTCAAGTTTTTTATTTGTTTGTTTTTTCAAACGTTCTCAGGTTTTTGCTTATTTAATTACTTGTAAGAAAATTTTTTTAACTATTTTTTTTTAATTGGGATAAAATCATTATCCAATTTGTAGTGATATATGGAAGCTACCGCACATCTCTTGTCACTGTGGTTGTATTGCTGGGTAAAAAGATAAAGAGTTTGAACATTCGAGGTGAGTTGCGTCCCAGAGATTGACATTTATTCCTCCATCTGGGAACAATTTAACGCAAAAAAATGTACGGAAAATATTAGAGTTACCTGTGAGGGTCTTTCAATTCTTCGATGACGAAGTTCAAGTAGTTCCTAAAAGAAAACGAGACTCGTGACATGTCTATATTTTGTCGCAAAAACGCCATTTAAGCGCAACATAATGTTGAAAACTGAAATACAATGGCCCAATTTTTACTTATCATTATACTCGAAACCAAAATATGGCGGGAAAATCTCAGCAACTACATTTTGCATTCGTAGGTTTCAGAAGATCGATTTTCATTCTTAATCATTATATTTCAACTCTAAGTACCATAATTCACACTTAAGTATCCGCGAATATTTCAAAGTTATTCATACAGACTTCGTATATTAGATGAACTTATTTCACGTCAAAACATTTCAAACCCCCAATCTACGCCCCTTAAAAGGCTGCCCCAAATTTCCGGCCTTGTTTCATGCTATGACGCAAACAAAAGGGAAACAAGCATATTTGCTGCTAACCCCGCACTTAAACTAATGAAGCTTACTAACTTCGTGTCGAAAACTGAAATAACGCGCGTTTCAGTCATTTCGATTCACCCTAATTCAACACTACAATAAATAGATGCGTCCGAATAACTTTCAAAGGGTCCTTAAATCGAATATATTGTAAATTAAACTGGCCGAATGTATTTCAAACAAACAAAAAGAATGCGTCTACATTGCAAGAGGAAAAGCTCGTCTACTGATTCCGACATTTCAAAAACCAAGAAGAAAGAACTGGCAAGCTCCATAATTTCCTTGTTGCGGTGATTTCAAGCGCTTTCATGCGAATTCATTTCACAAGTGGAAGCGGCAGTTACAACTAAAAAGGCTCGCCTCGTTCCATTCTTCCACAAACCGAAAAAACAAAAAAATTAACCGGAAAACAAAAGTATATTTTTAGAGCTTAAACTCATTTAAGTTTAAGCTTTAAAAAATACACCACGGTCCTTGATTACATGGTTCGTGCGTTGCTCCGGTATAACTTCCCCTTCCTTTAAGCATTTCTGGAAAAGTAATTTCATTCCTACAAATTTAATCGAGGTATCTCAACAATAAACCCGAGACCAGGGAAAATATTTTTTTAAAAAAGGGACAGCGATACACAGCAATTAAAATCTTGGGTGTGATTTTACTTTTCTTTTTTACTTTTTTTTTAATTTGTTTTATCTCGGGTTTAGTACGGAGCGCGCTCACCGTCTTCCCGGTGTTTTACACCTGAATTTGTATAGGGCTAGAGTTACATTCAAACAAAATATGTCCCAGAAAATCGTATCGGAAGTTGGCAGGGGAAGTGGGTAACGGAAGTGAGCAACGAAAGTGTGTAACGCAAAAACGTGGCGTGCAACTTCCCCGCTACATTTCGCGGGCAAATTGAACCCCCATTTGCTTACGCACTAATCCAAGTTTCTTCCTAAATTAAGCGGAGATTCATTGAACGGGTGTATATTTCTATACCAATAGACCCTTTCCAAAACCCCCATTCAGCAACATTTGCGGTCGCCATTTCTTGGGCACGAATTGCGGGCACGACGTGTGATTGGTTCCGACTCGTCGCCGAATGCTGACGCAGCCCTCGTGTCCAATACATGCTCAGAGTACGTGGTGAAACAACGGCGGCTCGGATAGTTGTTGCAGGAGCTACTAGATGACACGTCACTTACGAAAAGGGTATATTCAAAATATAACCAAAGCTCGAAACAGGCTGGGCATCTTATATCTCCCAACTTTTTTGTTTTGTTTTTTCTGTCGTTATTAAGACACATTTGTTATCGGCTGACCTTCCAAACTTGACCGATAGTCCGAGCAGGCTCCCGCAACCCTTCCAGACGATTACAGCGGAGAGTGGCAGCCACACTCAGATAAGCGAACCCTGGCGGCGTCTGAGAGAACTCACCATCCGTTGTAAGCAAATAATCCGGAGTAGAACGACAGCGCTATCTTGGTGACGTCCGTCTCGGTGTTTTCGAAGTTGAAGTGTTCCGTGTGGCCTGGGAGGAAAATATGGAATGTCGCAAAATAAGACGCGCATCTCTCGAAGACGTACCGAACTAAAAGAAAGAGATTTTTAAGTCACTGTATAGGGCCTTGGCCACGGAATAACTAATTATCCGAATCCACGACCTCTAGAAAACAAACACTCACGCACACAACGCGTCGCCCAAAAGAATCTTCAAAAAGGGTTGGAATTCCACGGCTAACAGCGGCGTATAGACACCAGGCCTCGCAATGACTGAAACCGATATATATATATATATTTATTTATTTTTTCGTCGCCAGTGTGAATTTTCGGTTTTAATTTGAGATTTCCGGAATTTGCGTTCCAAAACTAAGCGAAGAGCGTTTGAGATCTTATTTCGATGAAGAAGATCTGATTGAACATTTATATATACTACTAACAAATTAGCCTCTTGATTCTAACCTAATTTTAAAACTCGGTGTAAGGGGACCTGCAGGTAAAAAAAAAGCAATAGTTTGCACCAAAGAAAAAGTGATTTGGGGTTTTAGTGTAACTTCTGGTCCTTGGGTCTGCATATTTTACGTATAAACAAATAAGGAGCGAACATGGTCGCTAAATTAGACAAATACGAATTCCAGGATCTCCCGGCAACTCAAAAAGGCATAAATATGAGCCATGTTAGGGTGCACAGTTCTTTCAAACTGTGAAGTCGCCTGCCACCACAATTATTTTGAGAAGTAGGCCTAGCCATCTCCACTTCACTGCAATCCTTTGTACCTTCAATTCCTCAAATAAAAAAAAAATTTAAAGCCTTTTCCGCCACGAAGGTGTGCCGCTTACACATCTACGGTAATATACGATCGTCTTTTTTTTTTTCTTGAAATTTTCAAATCTCTTCACAGATTGTGCACAATCATTTCTATTTTGAACATTGCCCCATGACAAAAACAACAAAAAAGTTTGCATGCGCGAAGCTTGAGGATATGTAGAATGCAATTAACTAGGTTTAATCAGAAGGTATATTTTTATATATTCCTGAAAAATTTTAAAAAGGAACTTTTTCAGTCCCTGTGAAAAAGGCGTTTTTGCGATTTTCATGTATTTTAACTAAAAGAGTACTCACAAGCATTATCTTTGTTGACGATTGCACTCAGTGCTTTAAAAGAAGTCAATTTGCCTATTTTATTAGACTTTTTAAATGTGTTCCCATGACCCATGTGCACGCAAGAAAATGTTGTTGCTTTGTTTTTTGTCGTTTGCATATGCATTGCATCGAGAGCATAAAAAACAAACTGTATCAAAACTAAGACCAGATTTACGTACAAGAGATCAAGCACTATAAACTGTGAAAATTTCATTCAGTTATCGCAAATAAAAAAAAAGATTACCCCTGGCGCATCTGAGGATCCACCCGTCATCTGAAGATCCATAAGCCTGCATTGTATTTCTTACTCAACGAGGCGATTATTGCGATTAAGTCAAGTGTAACCTTGGATTAGGTTACGGATTGCTTGAGCACGAGCAAAAGGGGGTGGGTGCGCTGGCAATCTATATCTGCTAACCTCTCACCTACTCGCTGACCCGTTGTAAGCGTATGTCTCAAGCTAAAAACAACTGACTGTACAAACATACAACGAGGAAGCTAGCCTCTTTCGTAATATAGGAGCCACCTGCGACTTTGCTGTAGAAATAAGGCGTGCCACCAGGCGGACCAAAAACAGTCTAATTAACTGCCAGGAAATCCCAGGTAATTTTCAGGCACCTAGTGCCGGCGAGTAAACAAGGCACTCCCTTCTGATAGAAGGAGCGTGACCTTGGCGGGGTTTTTTTGTTTTTGTTTTTGTTTTTCGCAGACTATCTAAATAACGACGGTGCGAAACGATGACAGGAGAAGCAAGCAGCAACCGACGCAAAGCCGGACGCCACCAGGTAATTAAACACCCACCTAACGGTCCCCCAAAAATATATTAAAGACACCTACACGGAGGCGTCTAGACAGACAACCCTAACAACCCTTCCGATGTTCGTCAAAGCACCTAGCCTACCCTGCTGCCGAGGTGTTTGACTAACAAAGTTTAGCATCTGAGTTTTGACCAAGCAAAAGGGACTGAACGACGGCGCTTTGAGTTCAGATAAATTTCACCTTTCGTTAAAACAAAAATAGAAAGAATGTGTGCTTTACGTGTTAAGCCAATAAAGGGGGCCCGATGCTCCAAAGCGGAGGCTAAGGACTAGTTTCAACCTAAAGATATTTTTAGGAGCATTCACTGAGCGATCGCCATAGTCCCGTGTAAAGGTTTCGAAAACGCAGAGAAAGCGAGCAGTTATCGTACGCATTGAAAACCGTCACCGCTTCTGTTCTCGGCAGGCGATAAGTTGGTATCTCCACTCTTGTAACCACAGTAATGGCTTACAATTAACGTAGTCACGGACATTATGCGAACGGCACCGCCTCCTATAGTTATGCATTGTCGTTTTCATCCTCTCCGTGACTCTAGTCGGAACTTTGTCCCCCGGAGCTTCCGTGGCGTCCGAATTGCAAGGCCGACTCGGCGACAACCAGGAGGTGCCTCTTACCGTAGCAGAGTTGCACGACACCGGTGATGATGATAGTTGCCAGTGCGATCAGCTTCCCGTAAGTGAAGAAGTCCTGAACACGCGTGGACCACTTGACGTCCCAGCAGTTCACGAAGGTCAGCAGCGCTGCGAAGAGACCAAACGGACGCGGTCAGGATCATGGGGACTTCCGTCATTCGCGTTCGCCTTATCGGAACCAAAGCAAATGTCGTCCCTCTACGTGTTTTTATCACTATGAAAGGAAGCTAGAACCGAAAAATGAACGCCAACTAGGTTACCAGAGATAAACATACGCCGCCTCAAGACACACCATGAAAGGCGGTGCATATGTATTAACGAAACAAAGTGGTCTCCCAAACAGGTTCGAATAGGGATCTCCTGGACAGCTGAGAGGCGCAAAGAACATTTTGTCACAAGACAGATTTTTTTTTTTTTTTCAAGGACCCGAAAATGTAACGCTACGCCCTGCATTTCTTAGGTTCGCGGTGACTATGCGAGCTTCAGCTACGTGTTCGCAATATGCCTAGACTTCAGTGCTGTAAGCAAGGCTCATTGCGAGACGTGATTGTCCCCCTTAACCTAATTATCGACTATTTCGTGTCCTTTACACTCTTTATTATGAAAACACTCGTTCGATTTGTTCTATGTTGCTTACATTTTCAGCGCAAAACCTGACCTCCTCATTTGTGCAATAACAAGAAAGGGTGGTTTTCAACCAGAACCTTGATGACTGCGACCAAGCTGAGACTTTTTTAAACTCAGCAATCTAATAACAAAAACTCTAACCGTCACCTACACAACAGCCCCCAAATTTCCCTATCTTTTTTGTTTGCTTTTGGAGCAAGTATATCCATGACCTCAAACCTTCGCGCGTGTTTTGAACGGCGCTAACCACGGCCAATAATCCGGTTTGCTCACGGTGTCTGACGACGTCATCAGCGGGGGACCATGTCTAAAGAAGCAGGAAAGCGAGGCCCCAGCGAGAAGCGTTTTCGAATGCGATGATGGCAAGACGTTGAAGCCCACGGAATTAGAAGTAAGCAGCGTTCACGGAGGTAGTAGACTCAAGCCTTCGCCACTTCCGTGTCTTTAAGCTTTGAATGGCAGCATGAAGGGTATACAAGAAATAAAACATGGCGCCCGACCTCAGACTTTATTTAATCTTCTCTTCCCGAAATTGCTTCCAGCACATCTCGTTGCACGATGACTCGCTTAAAAAAAACACTCAAGTACACTATGAGCTTGCAGTCGACGATGAGAATATGTAATGATGGTATCTCATCGGGAACTTAAGATATTCGTTAGTGCAGATTCGATTACAACAGGTTCTACATAAACTAAACGTAACCGGTTTCTGCTGTTTATTTTCTTCTAAGTTCAGTATTGAAAAAATGTAGCTAACTTCAGTTACACTATATTCGGAATTTGTTGGCTTCTATTTTGCATCGGTGTGACTACAGAACATATTGTTAAGTTCAAGGCACTCCTAAAACATCTCGCGTTCTGAAATCCTTGTTAATCGCGTCTCTTTCGACCTCTGCTCTTTTTTTTTTTATTTCATTTTCCGCTTTGTACACGGATCTTCCTTTTTAAGGTCACTATCATAACATTACCCCCTCGCGACACATGGATCTCGGCCCGGGGTTCTGCAGAAATATTCAGAGAGTGATATGGGGCTAGAGCGCTAGACGATCAAAATGCATCACTTGGAAGTTTACGACTCCGCACATGCCGAATCTGGTAAACGACGTCGTTCAGTCGCTTGACGATTTCGAAGGGGCCGTCCCAGTCGGGTTGAAGCTTTGGGTTACGACCTTTGGAGCGACGTGGCTCCTCTACTCTTTTTAGAGCGCAGCTCTTAGGGGCCCGTTTCCAGCCTGAGCGGCGTCGGCGTCGGCGTAACCGGGGGGGGGGGGAGGTCACGTGACCCTTCCCCCCCCCAGATCACGTGCCCCCCCCCCCCCGAGGTCACGTGATCCCCCGAGGTCACGTGACCCCCCTGAGGTCACGTGACCCCCTCTCCCCCGAGATCACGACCCCCCCGGGGTCATGTGACCACCCGCAGATGACGTGACCCCCCCTCAGTACCCTTCCCTACTCCTCTCAATTCGGCGTTACACGGATTTGTAAACGGCTTTCATTTTTTTGTTTAGTCTATTTTCCGCTTTGTACACCGATCTTCTTCTTCATTAAATTCACTCTCATAACTATACACAATCAGTGAAGACGTTCTGTGCAAAAAAGTGAGCATCTAAAAACATGGTCTTGTTCTTTCGATTGCTTCCATTGTTCTCGACGCTTCACTGATCTGCACAGGTAGAATTCACTAAAATAGGGATCGTCGTGACCCAACCTAGATTCCCACAAAAAGCGGGGAAGCTAAACGTGTGAGGAAATAAAAGGTCCATTCCAATGTATAGTTTAATTTTGTTACAACGTCACTGTGGTGGCTCCTTTTCTAGCTTCAAGTTTTCCGGCAAGCAAATATAGAAAACATGGCTTCGCGCTCTGATGATCATAAAGGCCACGCTTGTTCAGTAAAAAGAAAGCTGAGTGAGTAGCGGATACAAGTTTCCCTTTGATTTCTACGATGTAACTCCGAGAAACAAATTGCTGCGTAAAAAAACCACGCGAAACGTTCTGTCACCTTGTATGAAACATGTCCATAATAGACGCCTAAAGTTACTGTCAAAGTTCTAACATCCTCCTTTACTTTAGTGCATTATTGAATCTCCCACCAAGACAAGACAGATAGGCTGATTAGGGAAGACGGTGACAGCAAGGGCACACCTTACCAAACAGATCAGGTATCGAAACTGATATCCAAGATCTAGCGCCGTCCCACCCAAAAAATAAAAATATGGTCTACAAATGCAAGTCCCCAACTGGCCGAACCAACGACAGGCCGAACAAAGAAACGGAGAAGGGAAAGACACACGAAACCTCAATGACCAAAAAGAAAACACCGACAACTTCTTGGGAGCTTGAAAACCGAAGATACACCAAAAATAATATGAAAGTCTCCCCAGTGGCCTTTTTTCTTCGCGGAGTTCCTATGTTGAGAAAGAGCAGGGCAAACCTTTTGATTAAGCCGACCAATCTGGCAACTTTTTTTTTTTTTTTTGCACTCGTACGGCTAGCCCAGCACGATCGATATCATGCATCCGCCATTGTTGTGTCGTCTCCCCCGGCGCAACACGTCGGAAACGCTAAGGCCAAGCGGAACGTGGCACCCTCCAGAACGTGAAGGCAATGTACAACACATCCCAAAATCTGACTGGTTCGGACAGGCCCCGCCCATTGACCGCGTCTTTTCTGCACAGTCTAGGTTCTGAGTTCGACAAGGGCAGACAGCCGCCTAGACGGGTTCGTAAATAGCGCTTGGCACGCCGCCGCTCTTGGGCGTTTCGGCTCGTCGGACAGCTGACAGCGTCTGAAGGCACGCGAAGAGGGGAGACAGTTGGTCTCGGGAGTGCCCACAAAAGTATCTTTAAAAAAAAGGGTGCACGTCAAGACACTCACCGGGTTTCAATCCTTCCGAGGCAAACACACGCAAACAGTAACGTGGCTTCCCTAGAGATGTATCTTGCCTTTATGGTAATTGAGGAGGAACCGGTCGGTGTGTGTCTGGCGATTTTTTTTTTTCTACTCGAGTAGAGACTGTGCGGGAATGGCGGACTCCCAGTCGTCTGATGGCTAAGCTAAACGAACAGGAAGGGTGAATGGCAAGTCGCTCAGAAATGTGGCCTTCTCGGTAACAAAGCACCAACAATCGGCGCTTCATTTTCGTCGCTGCCAATCAGTGTTGAGCCTCGGTGTGCCGCTTCCCCTTGACGATTGAAGAGATTGAACGTGGACGGGATATACAAGGATTAGAAGCGAGGGAAGCGCTTCCCTTGTGTATCTTCATTTTTCTGCTGCGAGAGCGCTCGTATCTTTGACAGCCCGCGCACGCTGACCGAAGTCACGAACATCCACTTTTCCACCAAACAACCATTTGCTATCACGAGGGATATCGATTCTGAAAGATGTCCCAATGCAATGGTCACGACGAGGAGAAACGGGCCCGTTGAAGCACATGACGATATAAATTGTGGCTCATATTACCAGATTTCAAAAAGTCCAGCTCTATGTTATGGTTTCATTTGTTACTCTTGATTTACATAGTAACTCGATCCTGCAGTACGCTTTGCTCATGGTCTCCGCAATCTAGTCATAAATATCTGATGAATTATAGCAGCAATCTTTGAAAATGAATCTCATGGACGTCTTTGAATTGCAGCCGACGTTTAGTTAAAAGAGACTTTTATTTACATAGAGACCTGCATCGCCTTTCGGCATTATAGCAGGGGTGAGTACATGAAATACATTAAATTGTAACAAAAACATGGAAACACAAACAAACTTGGATATACGTTAAACACATCCTTCAATAACCAACCTATTCCATTCTTCTATAGTTTTTGGAAAAAAAAATGAAACGGGAAAAACATCAGTACGGCAAAAGTAGGGTCGGATTTTGTTCTTGTGGTCCGCCCTTCCCGATATATAAAAAGGTTCGTATAAAAACATTTCTCGACTGATTAAATAGTGACCGTTATGGATATAATCTAAAAATTTCAACCTAAACATGTTGCTGCGTTCAGCTAGTGATTCCCACTTTAAATTATTCTTCATGGTGGTGACACTTGCCCCGCGTTGGTAATCATTTAAAACAAATCTAGAACACTGATTTTGAATTTTTTTTCAGTTTTTCTATTAGCTTATTGTGGTGGGGATCCCACACAACTGCTGCATATTCAATACAGGGGCTTCTTTAGGGCCTGAAGGAGAGACTCGGATCGTATAGGACCTAAAGAAGACACCTAGCATCGTCAAGGCCCGAAGGATGACCGAGCTTCTTTGTGACCTCGGAGACACTAATACTTTTAGCTAAACGTCGAATGCCACTCTGAGGCTTTAAGGAGCTTTGTTTTCCTGTCCTGTTTTGTAGGGCTGGGCAATTGATCGATTAACCTACCGCGAACCAAAATAAAGTAAAAAGGAAACGGTTTCACGACGTAGCCGTGGACGAGAACACCTGTATGAAGGGAAAACTTTAAGTCAAAATGTAGCCTAGAGTAAAC